ACCTTCCCGTATGTGAGAGGGAACCCTACCTGTATGTGACAGGTATGAAACCTACCAGTATGTGACAGGTATACGTATAACCACCCTTATGTGACATATATCCCTACCCGTATGTCACAGGTATACCTTCCCGTATGTGACAGGTATACCAACCCATATATAACAGGAAACCTACCAGTATGTGACAGGTATACGTATAACCATCCTTATGTGACATATATACCTACCCGTATGTCACTGGCATACCTACCCGTATGTGACAGGTATCCCTACCCGTATGTGCCAGGTATTCCTACCCGTGTGTCAGAGGTAAACCTACATGTAACAGGTATAGCTACCCGTATGTGAGAGGTATACCTAACCATGTGTGCTACCAGTATTTTAGAGGGAAATCTACCGGTATGTGACACGTATGTGACAGGTATACCTACTCGTATGTGACAGGTATAGCTACCCATATGTAACAGGTATAGCTACACGTATGTGACAGGTATACCTACTCGTATGTGACAGGTATACCAACCCATATATAACAGGAAAAGCTATCCGTCTGTGACAGGGAAACCTAACCTGTATGTGCCAGGTATACCTACCCGTATTTGACAGGTATAACCACCCTTATGTGACATATATCCCTACCCGTATGTCACAGGTATACCTTCCCGTATGTGACAGGTATACCAACCCCTATATAACAGGAAACCTACCAGTATGTGACAGGTATACGTATAACCATCCTTATGTGACATATATACCTACCCGTATGTCACTGGCATACCTACCCGTATGTGACAGGTATAACCACCCTTATGTGACATATATACCTACCCGTATGTCACAGGTATACCTACCCGTATGTGACAGGTATACCAACCCATATATAACAGGTATAGCTATCCGTCTGTGACAGGGAAACCTACCCGTATGTGAGAGGGAAACTACCCTTATGTGACAGGTATACCTACCCGTATTTGAGAGGGAGACTGTGAGAGGTATACCGTTTGTGGGAGGGAAACCTGCCTGTATGTGACAGGTATACCTGCCCGTTTGTGGGAGGGAAACCTGCCTGTATGTGACAGGTATACGTATAACCATCCTTATGTGACATATATACCTCCCCGTATGTGACAGGGTATACCTACCCGTCTGTGAGAGGTATCCCTACCAGTATGTGACAGGTATGTGACAGGTATACCTACCCGTTTATGGGAGGGAAACCTACCCGTATGTGACAGATATACCTACCCGTGTGTCAGAGGTAAACCTACCCGTATGTGACAGGTATACCTACCCGTATGTGACAGGTATACCTACCCGTATGTGACAGGTATTTATACACGTATGTGACAGGTATACCTACCCGTTTATGGGAGGGAAACCTACCCGTATGTGACAGATATCCCTACCCGTGTGTCAGAGGTAAACCTACCCGTATGTGACCGGTATACCTACCCGTATGTGACAGGTATTTATACACGTATGTGACAGGTATACCTACCCGTATTTTAGAGGGAAATCTACCGGTATGTGACAGGTATACCTACCAGTATGTGAGAGGGAAACTTACCCGTATGTGAGAGGGAAACCTACTAGTATGTGACAGGTATACCTACCCATATATAACAGGTATATCTACACGTCTGTGGGAGTTATACCTTCCCGTGTGCAAGAGGTAAACCTACCCGTATGTGACAGGTATACCTGCCCGTATTTTAGAGGGAAACCTTCCCGTATGTGAGAGGGAAACCTACCTGTATGTGACAGGTATACCAACCCGTATGTGACAGGTATACCTACCATTATGTGAGAGGTAAACCTACCCGTATGTGAGAGGGAAACCTCCCCGTACGTGACAGGTATACCTACCCGTCTGTGAGAGGTATACCTACCAGTATGTGACAGGAAAACCTACCCGTATGTGAGAGGGAAACCTACCAGTATGTGACAGGTATACCTACCCATATGTAACAGGTATAGCTACACGTATGTGACAGGTATACCTACTCGTATGTGACAGGTATAGCTACCCATATGTAACAGGTATAGCTACTCGTATGTGACAGGTATACCTAACCGTGTGTCAGAGGTAAACCTACCCGTATGTGACAGGTATATACCTACCCGTATTTTAGAGAAAAACCTAACCGTATTCGACAGGTATACCTACCCGTATGTGAGATGGAAACGACCTGTATGTGACAGGTATACCTACCCGTATGTGACAGGTATAACTACCTTTATGTGAGAGGTATACCTACCCGTATGTCAGAGGTAAACCTACCCGTATATGACAGGTATACCTACCCGTATGTGACAGATATACCTACCCGTAAGTGACAGGTATATACCTACCCGTATTTTAGAGAAAAACCTAACCGTATTCGACAGGTATACCTAGCCGTATGTGAGATGGAAACCGACCTGTATGTGACAGGTATACCTACCCGTATGTGACAGGTATAACTACCTTTATGTGAGAGGTATACCTACCCGTATGTCAGAGGGAAACCTAACCGTATATGACAGGTATACCTACCCGTAAGTGACAGGTATACCTACCCGTATGTGAGAGGGATACCTAACCATGTGTGAGAGGTATACCTACCCATATGTAACAGGTATACCTACCCGTATGTCAGAGGTAAACCTAACCGTATATGACAGGTATACCTACCCGTAAGTGACAGGTATACCTACCCGTATGTGAGAGGTATACCTAACCATGTGTGAGAGGTATACCTACCCATATGTAACAGGTATAGCTACCCGTATGTGAGAGGTAAACCTATCCGTATGTGAGAGGGAAACCTACCCGTACGTGACAGGTATACCTACCCGTCTGTGAGAGGTATACCTACCAGTATGTGACAGGGAAACCTACCCGTATGTGAGAGGGAATCCTACCAGTATGTGACAGGTATACCTACCCGTAGGTGACAGGTATACCTACCCATATGTAACAGGTATAGCTACCCGTATGTGACAGGTATATACCTACCCGTATTTTAGAGGGAAACCTAACCGTATTCGACAGGTATACCTACCCGTATGTGACAGGTATACCTACCCGTATGTGACAGGTATAACTACCTTTATGTGAGAGGTATACCTATCCGTATGTCAGAGGTAAACCTACCCGTATATGACAGGTATACCTACCCGTATATGACAGGTATACCTACCCGTAAGTGACAGGTATACCTACCCGTATGTGAGAGGTATACCTAACCATGTGTGAGAGGTATACCTACCCATATGTAACAGAAATAGCTACCCGTATGTGAGAGGTTACCCTACCAGTGTTTGAGAGGTATACCTACCCATATGTAACAGGTATAGCTACCAGTATGTGAGAGGTATACCTAACCATGTGTGAGAGTTAAACCTACTCATATGTAACAGGTATAGCTACCCGTATGTGACAGGAATACCTACCTGTGTGTGAGAGGTAAACCAATCCCATATGTAACATGTATAGCTACCCGTATGTTACAGGTATAGCTACCCGTATGTGAGAGCTAAACCTACCCGTATGTAACAGCTATTCCTTAATCTAACATTATTATGCAAAATTATTTATAGTACTTTTTTCATTATAATTACAATTTTACTCTTTTTTTTTTTTTTTTTTTCCAATGAGGGGGTTGGGGTTTTATCCCGTTAATGTACAGGTACATCATACACCCTTTAATGTATTTATTTTAGCTAGGGTTAAAGCGGTTGTCACAGTCAGTCTATCTTGATGGATAGTTATTCATTGGTTTAATACAAACTTTATTTCATTTCTTTTTTGTTCATTAACAGTATGATGTTAAGCAATATACAATTTTTGAAATAGGATTTGGAAACAAGTTTTACAACTTATGTAGACCCATCTCCATTGGTTTGCCAGGCATCTATACTATAAACTAACTCATTACCGGAAAATTGAATTGTTTTATATATAAATATATTAGCTACATACAAATACATATAAAACCAACCGTATTAATTGTGTTTGAATTATTAATTTACGTTTTACAGACAGCAAATCTAAACATGTAAGAGAAAATATCATTTCACGAGATAAAGCCTATTTAACGGGAGATAATGATGTCAGCATTATGGTGAAAACTTCTGTCGGCCTGTACATCTCTGACGTGATTTTCCAACCTATCGACGTGAATATATTGAAGGTAAAATTCTTATAACATCCAATTCGTCCTGGTTATCATGAGTCAAGTGTTAGTGAGTTTCTTCCATGTACTTGATGCACCCCCGTAGCTGCAAACCAGCTTGACCGCGTTCTTCCTTGTATACATATATCTACCCCCGACTTACCGGTTATCAGCTATATGCCATTACAAGCGTGGTGTTCTGCTAACAAATGTCTGGCTGTAGAATTACTTATTTATCATTGGACTGTCACAATCATGACCAGTGATGACAAGGAAAAGCCAATTTGATGGTTACTGCGTCTCTGTTTAGTGACTAAAATTACGAAATCACCCCGACGTTATTAAAAATAACATTTTTTGCCTCAAATATTGCTTTCAGCGTTTCGTCAGCTTAAATATCATATCAAAAATGACATTGCATTACCCATACATGGAAACTTGCTAATTTTGTAGCCAAAATGATGTATCCATATAATATATATATATATATATATGGTTGAACCGGTTGGACCAGAGTTATTCGTTTATGAAATAAGGTCGGACCTAATAATCTGACGCTGCTTTCAGGTGAGCCTTGGCAAAGCCTGACAAGGCCTGCTTAAACGTTTGCAGATCCGCTAGGATTTATACCCGAAAATGTTACATTTAAAAACAGACGAACCGGTGTGTTACGCTTAAGCGAACATGTCCCTGTTTTCTCCCAGTGTACGTGCTCATTGATGCAGTCCTTATGACGTTGTTCGTGTGTATACAAATCACATCAATGAATTTCCCAGTAAAACACTCATCACAATGACTCATTAAACTTTTTTTTTCAATTTTAATTTATTTATCAAAATTCACTTAAAACATTATTTCACACACAACACACTTTGTAAAAACATGGATATCTTACCTCTGACGGGAAAATTTCGGAACCAGGAACCAGAAATATCTTAAAATTTACTTTCAGACAATTTGAAGGCATTTTACTTGTTATATAACAATCCCACTAATAATCATGATTGTAAGCTTACTTTCAATCGAGAGAGGTTTTTTTTGAAAAGGTTGGTACATAATAAAAGCAATAATGTATTTTTCTTGAAAACTTAAAAGATCTATTTTGATAAGTTCTGTACAAAAGCAAGCTCACAATGATGCAAAATAAAATCCCAAAATCAATCGCTTTCATGAGAAATGAATATGTTTTTTAAGAAAAAAAATACCTACTAAGAGAGCGGATTACAAGCAATATTCACGATTTCATTTTGCATGAAGAAGTTAGTATTATGAACCTTTTCATTTCTTTCACATTTTGAAATTGTGAAGGAAGTTTACGACCAATTTTAATAATGCTTACCTCTTTGTTCCCCACCACAGTGGTCTAGGGGAGATACACAACTCTATAACTAAAATTACACAGCGCCTACGAAGACAAAACCTGAAGTTAATACATCCGATACGGAAAGACAAGGAAACTGGGAGACATCGAAACACAATACACATTGAATCGCCAGAAACAATAGGAGGGGAATCCGGGTGATTGGAAGAGCAGGCGTAACCTGTCCAGACTATAAATAACATCAACGCTGTATATACAGGTGTTCATCACTGTCATACCTGTTTGTCAGAGAGTTTGGTGGTGAGGGGGTCTTCATTTTCAAAATAAGTGACGTGACAACCGGTTCGATATTCCATTCATAATCTCAAGAGACGAATTTCAGAGGGGTTTAGACTTGTAAGTTCAAAACAACACACATGTACATCATAGGTACATTGTTAATATAAGATAAGCATACAACAGATGCTTCTGCAAAACTATCAATACAAATTAAAAAAATATTACATTCTAGAGATAGTGTCGCACCCTATAATCGTCTGTTTTTTTATGTTTACGACACTCCAATAGAAATCAAGTATATAACTATGTCAAGTAAGGGATCGATTGAGTTTGTCCCAGAAGCGACTGTCGCCGAGAGATAGGTACGTATGTGTTTCTATAAAATGTCGCATATCTTTTTCCAGTGACACGAGATCCACACTTTCCTTGACTACGACTATCAAATGTCCGGTCTTCTCCACCAGGGACTGCTGGAAAGCCTTGCGGAACTCCAACAGACACCACTCACTGCCAAGGAAGTTGGGTGACAGCACTAAAATTGTGTGCCTACTTTTGTCGATACTATTTATGATGTTTTCCGATATGCACGCGCCTGGTATGAAATCCTTGTGATGCAGACATACATGGAATGCATGCGACTCCAAGAATGAATAAAGTTCTCCCATCACCCATGTCTCGTCTAGGGAACTGTAGGAGATGAACGCGTCGTACGTTTTATCGTCATCACTTTCCGACGTCGACTGATACGACACTGTGACGGCCGACTGGGTCTTACATCTTCTGTACCACAGTACTAGAACTATCAGAAGAGCCAGTCCTGTCACAACTCCGCAAATCATTGTGATGTATTTGTCTAAGTCCATGGATGGTCCAGATTCGTTGTCACACGCGGAGTATTTTGTAAGGTCTAGGAGCTTTATTCCGATCATGTTAGTAGGGTTTACACACTCTATACTGTTACCAAGTATCTCATTAATATACCTCCGCGGCTGACTCGTACGCATTCTGTTTTTGAGGAATGTTACGACATCGTTCAAGCTACAGTTACATACAAAAGGATTGTTGGCAAGTGACAGCGAGTTAGGCCAAAACTCATCGAGGCCTTTTACTTCACCCAGGGTGATGGATTCGATAGAATTATTGCTCAAATCGACTGTCAACCACGGACTGGTCATAACAGGTTGTTTCTTTCTAAACGACAGTGACGTGATTCGATTATGAGATAAATCTATCTTTTCAAGAGCGCCGAACTGAGCCCACCATTTATCAGTATACAGATGATACGGAGCTGTCATCAGATTGTTTCTTGTTAAGATGAGAACCTTCAAATTAGGATATAATGGTGGCGAGCGCGGTGCTGGAAAAAATGAATCGATGTACGAAAAATTGTTTGGATTGTGCCCGGAAAGTTCTAGGTGTTTTAACGCTGGGCAACGACATGTTTTCTCCTTGTGCTGTTCCAGAGCGACGGAATCGTTCATCGTAATTCTAATATCCCATTCAGGAATGGCCGACAGGTTATGTTGACGGTAGTACACAAGGCTTGGATTTATCAAACAATCCGGTTCGTGATGCTTTTTTATCTCTTTCATTAATTCGCTTAGTCGAATAACCAGCACGCAGTTTTCCAAAGTAAGAATATTAAGGTCGTTCTGTGGTCTGTTTAACATGGCTGTATTGAGAACATTATAGGAATGAATAAAACAGCCAAGTATAGACAATGACCACAGAAGTCTTGCCTGGTGGGGCCTTTCCATCGTTATAGAGCCATTGCCAGAACACACAATGGTCAGTCCTATATAGAAACCATTGTGCGCTTCAGCAAATGAATCAGTCACTTCCTGAAATCTTGTCCAATTCCACCGTCCTTTGCCGCCATCTACTTCGCAGGTTATGTTAAGCGTGTTTCGGATCAAGTTGGGCTCTCCAACAGCAACTCTTTGCCAATTGTTCATTTGTTCCTGCTTAGAATGTTTCCTTTCACTTTCTGCTTCGGCCTGATTTTGCAGGTGGCATTTGCCTGGTATTCTAGCCGTCAATTCCATCGCGATAGTTGTGGAGTTGACGCCCATAGTTGACACACAACAGGCCGTGGTAACAAGAGTCGTACATGTACACCACAGCCACTGTAGGAGTGACATCCTGAGACGACGATTCTCAGCGGTAGTATCATGAGGCGTCTGTACTACGAGAGGTAGTCATTATCCCGACAGTATGGATTGCCTGCATGCTGCGTTCTGATTCAAATTATAGTCAGGCTGTGTCGTCAGTGGGTTAAATAACACCGTTATATGGCTTATTGATTTGTAGCTAACAAAGAATTATCACGGACTATCCGTGACTGCTTATTTATTTTATAAATATTAACCATACACGAGTCATGACAAAAACTACGACCCGTCATTTTAATGATGCCAACCGTGTCAGGGCACCGAGCCCTAACATTACGTAGCATCCTAAACAAAGATCGACGTATCTTGTCCATACTCATAGGGCACAATACTTAGAAAAGAATCCTGTGCTGAGTATATCTGATCATCAGTTTGTACGTTAAGTGACCATAGAACGCTCGAAAAATGAACGATTAAACATTCTTAGAACTTTCATAGAACGCTGACCAGGACGTTATGGTGTGACGGATCCTTTACATAAGATAATAACGTTACGAATGGTGTAATTATTCTAACATGCGTGTAATTTTTGTGTTAAATCTGGATCATATGCACGTAATGCATTAAATATGTTGACGAGTATACATTACATAATTATGAGCCTGTACATGATTATTAAGGTAAATATTTAACATATAGGTAATGAAACTGTTTTTCAAAGTAGTTAACCGGTTAACAGGATACAGCTCCTCCGAAAGTCCTGATTCAATTGTTCTGCAGTAGCGGATTAACTTTACTGCACAATACCGTGACACGTAAACTCAGTTAATAAACAGGTAGCTCGCTTTGTGTTTACTAAGACGAGAAAATGAAACGATCGCGAAATTAAAGTCATTCGCCTTGGTCAGAGTTCGGTATCGTAGTGGACATTACTAGTACGCTTCAGTTATCATCAGGATGTGGTTTGCAGTTATGTTACATTCATTGTGTGTTATTTAAACAGTTCAGATAAAGTTATGTGATACGTGCGGACTGTTAATTTAACAATTCAAATAAAAAAATGTTACATGTTATGGTTGTCAATTTACGTTTCAAAAACAGTAATGTTACACGTGCTGGTTGTCAATTTACAGTTCAAAAACAGTTATGTTCCACGTGCTGGT